AAACAATACTATGTAGTCTCTAAAGACCCCTCAGGGGAATGATAAGCAATAAGTCCAGAGAGGTGGTTATCTACGAAGGCAGGCAGGTTGTTAGGTTCTGTATCTTCACCTGGGTGCTGTATACATGGGTGTTTATTATAATTACACTTCCACCTTTTTGGATGTCTAAAAAGAGCAAGGAGCAGACCAATCAGTGTAATACGCTACCATTTGTGTTAAAAATAAAAAGGCAACAGGGGAGTCACACACACACAGCTGCTTGTAGGAGCTGGTAGACGGTTCTAGAGAGGCTGCTAACCGGTTGGGGAAAGCCTGGAGAACCGCAGGAGGGAGACATACTGTTTGCTCTACACACTGTTATGCTGATTGAACATGTTTACTGCGTGCAGATATTATCTACGCTAATAGTTCATCTGTTTGTAGATGGGGAAACCAGACTGCAGGGCTTGAACAGACTTAGGCCAGGGCCCATGGTTACTGACAACTTGGTAATCAAGTATTCAGGTTACCAGGAACCAGCCTTGATCTACTGGGCTGCTCTGCTATCAGGATTGACCTAGTACCTAAACCTAGTTTGGCTCCCGGAAGTATGAACTCCCAACTCCCTCCAAACTGTCATCTACCTAACCTAGCTTGCATTCCTGACCCAATAATTATGTCCAGCATATGTATTTATAGTAAGTCAATTTAATTTGTTCGTTAAACCCAAAACATTCTTTAAGAAAGACGACCGGGGAAATTACAAAATCAAGGGCAGAGAAGGGTCACTGTGCAAGCTGGTCAAGAATATTAACAAACAACATTTTATTAGTAGTACAGCAGAAAAACACTTATAGCGCTTACTACCTATGCCCTTTCACACATTAACTTATTTATTAAAGCCTCACAGCAACCCAATGAGATAGGAACAATTATTAATCTCATTTTACAGAGAGGAAACTGAGACACAGGAGGTTTAAGTAACTTGCCCAAGGTCAAACAGCTAGTGTCTGAGATGGGATAAAAGTTAAACTTCTATTCCAAAGTATCATCTCGGTCCCAATATAGAGAATTACAAATGCCACAAGAAAACATGGAGTTTGGATAGATTTTTTTTCTTTCCCCCAGTGCTCAGGTCATAATTACCCAAGGCCACAATTCAGATTATTTTCTGGAACTTCAAGGAATAAAAAATAAACAATTAGTACTTTCGACAGCCAAATTCTTCACCCTGATCACTATATTTTCTGTTACTGTTTATTAAGGGAAAAAAAAGAGGGCCAACAGGGCAATGTAATTAGTATTCTGCTCTGATAATTTAAAGAAATTCTAGACCCTTCTTCCTGCTGGCAGAACCAAATAGGAGCCAGACAGCAAGGCTTAGAGCCTAGAGCACCCAATGCTCGAAGACAGCTTCAAAAAGCTGCCGCACACTTTGGCCTTGGCCTTGAGAGCATCCCGAACTTCATTCCCCAGTTAACAACGCCCTTCCTCTTTCATGTCCCTTCCAGTTTCACACTCAAAGAAAACAGAGGAACAAGTTCCCCTTCCTTCCTCTCATGCAGAAATATCCATATCTCTCAATTCAACTCCCACAGCAGGTATTCAATACAACTTGTCAAATGCAATTAACACACTTGTCAAATTATTGACTGGCTGATACAAGTAAACCCTTCATGAATTACACTCGTATTTTCACAGAATAAAATTGGTTTACTAATGAGAAACAGCAGATTTATCCAAAATTCCTGGCAGGTGAGACTTGTTGCTATTAAGCAGGCTAGGCCATAAATACATGTTTCCCATTTAAAAAACAAAACTATCAACTATATATTTGTACATAATATATTCTAGTTCTCCATAAAGAACCTACCTGGCTCAGTGCTGGGCAAACACCACCCAGTCGGTTAACCACTCCATAGATAACAGCAATACGGGCAGCTAAGCTTCAGGGAGCACTATGCCACATGCTTTACACATAATAACTCATTAACGCTGGACTCACCTTTCCACCAGAGGAACCACCCATGAATATGTCCTTATTGTTATGATTCCATTTATAGAGTTCAAAAACAGCAGAACTAATCTACGATGTTACAAGTTAACAAAGTGGTTTCCTTTGGCACAAATGAGACAACGTAGTGAATGGGGAGGTGTAAGGGGGCTTCTGGGTGCTGGTAATATTCTACTCCTTGACCTTGAGGGCTGGTGACATGGGTATCACTCTGTGATAATTCATTAAGCTGTACACTTAGAATCTGCATGGTTTTCTGTATGTAAATTATAGCTCACTAAGTTTTTATTTTTTTTAATTAAGAGGTACGTCTTTATGGAGGAATGTAGGAAGAGCAACCACTGTCAGGAATCTGGCTTCCCCATTAAATAGCCCGTGATTTGGGAGAGTCACCTCTGGGGGTCTCAGTGTCTTCATCCTTTAAAGAGGCAGAATTATATGCTCTCCTATTCTCATTATGCCATGATTTCACTGTCTTTTTCAGGTGAAGAAAAGGGAGAGGATGGACAACTGGATGGGTAGAAAAATATAGGCAGCCCCCAATTTACAACATATTCGAGTTACCACGAACAGCAGTTATGACTGTCTGGTTGTTTTTTTTTCCCCACATCTTACTGTTAGTAATATGTACTACATACAATGTTGCAGCTCTTAATCTGCTGATGTCATCATTGTCAGATACTCATTCGCAGATGTTCAATGTTATGATTTATACAGACCACTGCTAATAAAAGGCAATAACAATGAAAACAAAAAAAAGGGTATCCGACTTAGGTCAGAACCAACTTACCACAGAGTCATTGGAACAGAATCCCATCGTAAGTCAGGGATCACCTGTAACTCAAAAGCAAGTCTATCTACCACCAAGACATCCCTACAACATAAAATGCTAATGCCTCTGCAGATTCGGGATGACACTCCTGGTACTAGAGGAGTTCTAGTGCCTTCCGGGAGCAGCCACTGACTCCAGTCACCACGCACCTTCACTAACAATAGACACAGCATCGATGTTCTTAGGAAAAAAGCCACAACGGGGCCAAAGCTGTCAAGGCAAGTGAGCACTCATACACTGTAATCAGCATGACCCTGAAGTAATCCTAAAGACCAGATGAGAAGGTCAGACCAAGGCCATTGCAACAGACTCCCATTTACTCAGGTGTTCAGGCAAGGGGTCTCTAGGCTAACTAAATACTTTGATTAGCCGTGTTCCAATATATACCAGAGGTGGATTGAACATTTAAAGAAAAAACTTAGTCCTTCTTTGAGTGATTCAGAACTCTAAAGGTCTTGTGAGGAGTGACTCACTGCCAACATGAAAACTGACGCTATTAAAAAAAAAAAAAAATTGTTCGGAATCAGTACAGAAAATTCAGAGACACGTTAGTTTATTATACAGACCACGGAATAACAAGCAGGAGCAACCCCAGGCAAAAATAAATTTTCTTCAGTGCTATAAAACCAACAGTTATCTTCCTCTACAAGCAGAGCACCTTTCATAATCTGCGAGTAAAACAAGTGTGACCGCTCAGTCTGAGAAGGTGAAGACATTCTTGAGAGTTACCGAAAGCTAACAGGAGAGAGGAAACCCTGGTGGCTAGTGGTTAAGTGCTATGGCTGCTAACCAAAGGGTTGGCAGTTCGAATCTGCCAGGTGCTACTTGGAAACTCTTATGGGGCAGTTCTACTCTGTCCTATAGGGTCGCTGTGAGTCAGGTTTGGTTTGGTTTTTTTTAACAGGAGAAAACATTTCTTCAATCTATTCAGCTCCATAACTAATCACCTTATTTCTTTGGTTTTCTATCGACTGTCATCCATCTTCTGTTACTGTTTATTAAAATTTAGGTGGCTGCATGACAGTTAAGTTAGTCCCTAAGCTACATACAGTTAACTAGGAAACTGGGAAGATGGGTACTGAGAAATCGAGGTTCAGGAAGCTAGAGAGGATCAGGTTTTATTTCTCCTCAGTGGGGTGCAGATTAAAGACCCAGAGCCTATTATCTGAAAACACCCACACTTGGGGTCCCCTCCATATAGAAATTAAAAATCTGGCTCCACGACTATCAAACTATGGAATTTCTATAATTACTCAACCTCGCTCCTTTCACATTACCTCGATTATTTAAAGGCAGAAGGTATGGGGAGGGCAACGGTCAGACAAAAGAAAGAAGCATCATGGTGACACTAAAGAGTCAGTCAAAAGGAGGTCAGAGGTAGGCACTGCAGCTGGTTCCCCAAGGCTGCCTTCTTAACCTGCAATGGTTTCCACAACCATCAGTGCGATTTCAGGACAATAATAGGTATAAGAATACTCTCTGGGCACGTCAAGTTCTCAGGTACTTCTGTTTTCCTGCAAATAAAGACCACTGTGAAAATGAGCCCATGGCTGTTCCAGACATTTTAAAGGAGATGAAATGGGGACTCCATTGCAAAATAAGACTACAAAACCCTATATCACCTTCATAAACACGTATACAAAGATAAACATCAGTAGAGATGACATACTTATGTGCTTCCTGGAACTTCTAGACCTTTAAAAACTAGGCCAACAGGCCAAGAGCCAATGTCCTGTCCTGCAAGGAATATGCTGGGTGAGGAAGGAAGCCCAGGTTCCCGTTCATCTCGGTCATGTGCATCCAGAAGGCACAACAAAACTGCCAGAGGGGTCACCCTACATGACCTGCCCCTAAGAGCCGCAAGGGCAGCCTAAGGGAAGGCCCCGGCGGCCCCAGCAACGCTGGCACCACCCTGGGTCCTGAGAGACACCACTTCCCTGGCGCCACCCGCCTCGCCCACTCGCCCCAACCCCAGGTCAGGAGTGGCCTGCGGGGTAGGCTTTCTCAGCCCCCTCGGCCGCCCCATCAGATACCGGCCGGCGCACGCGCCTGCGCACTGCACGTCCGTCACGAAATCGGGGAAGGGTAACGAACTGAAGGGAGAGACCCGGCACGGTTCGCTCCGGGACTGGGGGCCCTTTCCCCCTTCCCGAAGCTGGGGTTTCCAGGGCTTACCCACGCCCACGACGCTGGCCAGAAGCAAGAGCGCGTACATGGCGCAGTCTAACTCCGCAGTCTGCAATGCAGAACGTCAGGTGATCCTCCGCAGATATAAACCAGCCCCGCCCCGAAGCCGCTCACTGCGCAGGCGCAAACTCCGCCCCGGCCGGGCCCGCAAGGGCTCCTCCAGCAGCCTGACTCAGCTCCGCTCAGCGCGCCTGCGCGAAGGGGATGACGGGGAGAAGGGAGGGGAGGGGAGGGGAGAAGGGATGAGAGGGCGTGGCCGGCCACGGCAGGCCAGGGCCTGGAGAGACCAGGTAGAGGAGGGGATGAGAGAGGTCGTAAAAAAAAAAAAAAGTTATTAATAAATGTTAGGGATTATATATGTAAAATATCTTTTAAGCCTCACGTTTTTTTCTATGATGTACCATTTTCTATTATTAATATCATTTTACAGGTGAGAATCAATACTCCAAAATGTTAATGACTTATCCAAGGTCTCACAGTCAGGATTCAAACTCACCACCTCACCCACACTGTCTCCTGAATCATGTTTATAGTACTGACCTGACTGAGGTCAGCGAGTAGCTACATTCTGTGTGCTGCTTTTCCGCCGTTAACATTTCATATACATAATCACTTCTCCCCATGACCCATAGGCAGGGTTTGTCAATATTATATACAGTCTCTCCCAAGATTCTATCTTGGTTTGTCCAACCATTCCGTGGAGTTGGAGAGAGTGGAGGAAAGGGACTGAGGAGTAAGATGGGAGAGAACAGGACGTGACTCAGCCATTGCAGAAGGGAGGCACAAAGCAAAGCCTGAATTTGAGAACCTCGGGTAAAAACCCGCCGGGGACTGTGATAGAGAAGAAGCTGCCCCGCCCTGCCCAGCCCAAGCTGATGCTGGGATCAGGGTGTGCTTTGTGCCCATCCAGGCTTGGCAGGGAAATGAAGAATGAGTTCCCCCCACCGTCACCCTACTCCAGGGACAAGTACCTCCCAGCCCCAAGGGAAGAGAATCAGCCCATTAGAGCAGGCCCTTAGACACCATCTAGTCCCATTCCATCATGGTACCAATGGGGAGACTGAGACCTGAAGAGGGAAGGGCATGTGTTCAAGGTCACACAGTAGATTGGGATAGAACCGGACCTGGAACCAGATCTCCTGATCCGGGAGGAGCAAACCTAGGGCTCCCCCACCACCTACAATCTGCAATCTTCTCTCTTAGGAATAGCCCACAGACAGAGATAACAGAGAGCTTTTGGTTCTCCATCCCTGTCGCCACCCCCACACTGTGGCTCTTACTTTCCCCTGGGGAACTGGATAGGGAAGCGTGCACCACAGTGGGGGAGTCACTGATTCAGTGCGGGCTGGAAAAAGGACAAGATTTGGTCTAAGCCAGAGCCTCACGTGTTGCCCCTTCACCCCTGGGCTGGATGGAGACAGTGCACCTGCCCCATCTGCCGGCTTCCCAAGCCACAAGCATGGGGCAGACCACCCCAACAAGCTGTTAAACAGGGAGGGCTCTGCGGCAAACCTTCCTCCCCAAGCTCCTTGCCAATGGAGGAAGCAGAGTTCCATGTTCTACACAAAGGTTACAAGACTCCGAGCAAAAAGGAAGCTTAGAGACCTTCAGATCATACCCGGAAAACCAAGTATCCTAGAGTTACTGAAATCTCAAAGCTAGTTAACGACAAGCCTTGAACTTGAACTAACTCTTTTATAATACCACCTCTCTCATAACTAGAGGAATGTGTCGGTGTTTATAAGATGAACTTTTGATGCCTTAATTTCCTCACCTGTAATACAAAATAATATGTTAGTTCATCTGACTCCTTCTGAATCCTAAAAGGACAGAATTTTAATAAAGAATATAAAAGCAGTAAGTGGATTATTATAATTTTTTGCCAAATCAGTGGTTGCTTAAATCCTCTTAAAATACCTTCTTAGCCATCTAGGCAACAAGAGTTACGAAGCTGTTCTTACCCTTTGACCCTATAATATCATTCCTGGCTATATACCCCCCGAGAAATAATTCAGAAGCTAAGAAGTATTTTATCCAAAGTGTTCACAGAAGGGCCATTTATAACAGTGGAAACTGGAAAGATCCAAATGCTGAACAACATGGAATAACTAAATAGCAGGCTGAACAAACAATGGTGCTCAATCAAGCTTTGAAGCATGAGGCCTGTCATGGATTGAATTACATCCTCCAAAAAATATGTGTAGCAATTTGGATGGGCCATGATTCCCAGTATTGTGTGGTTGTCCTCCATTTTGTGATTCTAATTTTATGTTAAAGAGGATTAGGGTGGGATTGTAACACCACCCTTACTCAGGTCACACCCCTGATCCAATGTAAAGGGAGTTTCCCTGGGATGTGGCCCACACCACCTTCTATCTCTCAAAAGATAAAAAGGAAAGGGAAGCAAGCAGAGAGGGGGGACCTTATACCACCAAGAAAGCAGTGCCAGGAGCAGAGTGTGTCCTTTGGATCCGGGGTTCCTGCGCAGAGAAGCTCCTAGTCCAGGGGAACATTGATGAGAAGGCCGACAGAGAGAGAAACACTTCCCCTGGAGCTGACACTCTGAATTTGGACTTTTAGCCTACTTGACTGTGAAGAAATAAATTTCTCTTTGTTAAAGCCATCCACTTGTGGTATTTCTGTTATAGCAGCACTAAAAGACTAGGACTTTTAGCCTACTTGACTGTGAAGAAATAAATTTCTCTTTGTTAAAGCCATCCACTTGTGGTATTTCTGTTATAGCAGCACTAAAAGACTAAGACAAGGCCTAAGCAGCAAACACTACTGTGCAGGAGTGGTCACCCTACAAAAGCCACCCCTAAGAGCTGCCAGGGCTCCCCTGAGAGGGAAATGGGTTCCATGATATGCGGGCAGAACAAGGGCCCAATGCCCCGTCTTCTAGTTCACACCTTGCCACTGACTTCCCACGGGGACCACAGAGTGGGTGAGGGGGCTTCAAGGTTCTCCTGTGGGACAGCACCACAAAAGACAGGATGGATGCGCTCGGAAAGCCAGCCCTCGCTGCCATGCCTCTCTCAGAAGTGGTGGGATTTTCACTGAGGAAAGGAACAGGGAATTGAAGATGGAGGGAGTCTACTGACTTCAGGTTAATTCATCTCTGTGTTATTTTACTCATCAAAATGTCCACATGTCACTTTATAGTTTCTACAGAAAAATTTTTTTTTTAATTTTAAGGAAAATTTTAAAGAGGAAAAAAAATCCCCTCCACCTCACCCTGCTGTGGGCTCAGGTCTTCAGGAAACTGAAAAGATACTTTTCCTCAGAACTAGGATTCACCCTGGAGACCCTGGCAAGGTTCGTGAGGCTTTCCAGTTCTGATCTCAGCTCTGCAAGAGGCTCTACTTTTGGTCCTGGAATCTCTTTGGATTTCCTCCTGCCAGAGCATTTTAACAAATTTCCTTTCGACCCCGGAGGGCTTCTATCTGTTTCTGTTTCTACAATGGAAAGAATACTGCGGTAATGTGCCCTCCTCTGTGAAGGCCCAGCCCCGCCTCGCTGCCTGCTAGGCCCCAAATCTTTGCTCTGGCTTCCCAAACAGCCACACCTGACACCTCCTCATGCCCTGAAACAGCCCTGCCGCTATGTCTCAAACACTGTGCTTTCCCATCTCCTCTCCCCCTCAGACTTGTGTCACCCCACCTACCAATCCCCAGCCTTAAGCAGACTAGCCATCTGATTTTTCCTTTTCTACCCCTACCTTGGAGCCCTGGTGGCACAGTGGTTGAGAGCTTGGCTGCTAACCTTTGTTAGCAGTTTGAATCTACCAGCAGATCCTTGGAAACCCTATGGGGCAGTGAGGTCACTATGAGTCAGAGTAGACTTGATGGCAAGGGGTTTGGCTTTGGTTTTTCACCCCTAGGTCCCCTGAGCTGCTGAGAAATAACAGTTCTCAGCCAGGGCTCACCAAGCTTTGCCCAGGGCTTCAAACCAGTGCAACTGCTAACCAAAAGTTTGGTAGTTGGAATCTACCAGCTGCTCCTTGGAAACCCTGTGGGGCAGTTCTACTCTGCCCTATGGGGTCGCTATGAGTCGGAATCCACTCGATGGCAACAGGGTTTTTTAACAAGTTCCCAGGAAGTTATACATAAGAATCACCTGGGGATCTTGTTAAAATGTAAATTCTGGTTCAGTTTGGAGCTCTGGTGCCATAGTGGTTAAGAGTTAGGCTGCTAACCAAAAGTTTAGCAGTTCAAACCCACCGGTGGCTCCTTGGAAACCCTATGTGGCAGTTCTACTCTGTCCTATAGGGTTGCTATGAGTCAGAATCAACTCGACGGCAACTGGTTATGGATAGCGGAGTCAAAGGAGCCCTGGTGGCCCAGTGGTTAAAGTGCTCGGCTGCTAACCAACAGGTCGGTGGTTGGAACCCACCAGCTGCTCTGCAGGAGAAATGTGTGACAATCCGCTCCCGTAAAGATTTATAGCATTGCAAAGGATATGAACAGACACTTCACCAAAGAAGACATTCAGGTGGCTAACAGACACATGAGGAAATGCTCACGATCACTAGCTATTAGAGAAATGCAAATCAAAACTACAATGAGATACCATCTCACCCTGACATTACTGGCACGAATCAAAAAAACAGAAAATAACAAATGTTGGAGAGGTTGCGGGGAGATTAGAACCCCTAGACACTGCTGGTAGGGATGCAAAATGGTACAACTTTTTGAAAAACAATATGACCCTTCCCTCAAAAGTTAGATAGAAATACCATACAATCCAGCAACCCCACTACTAAGAATATATCCTAGAGAAATAAGAGTCAACACACGAATAGACACATGCACACCCATGTTCATTGCAGCATTACTCACAATAGCAAAAAGAAAAGTGCCCATCAACAAATGAACGGATAAACAAACTATGGTACATACATACAATGGAATACTACACAACGATAAAGAACAATGATGAATCTACAAAACATCTCAAAACATGGATGAATCTGGAGGGCATTATGCTGAGTGAAGTAAGTCAATCACAAAAGAACAAATACCATATGAGATCACTATTATAAAAGCTCGTAAAAAGGTTTACACACAGAAAGAAACAATTTTTGATGGTTACAAGGCAGGGGAGGGGTGGAGAGGGAAAAACACTAACTAGGCAGTAGATAACTGGTAACTTTGGTGAAGGGTAAGACAGAACACAAAACTGGG